TCAGTTTTTTACCCTCCATGTACGACACTCACATGTATACAATCTAGTATTAGATTTTCATAGGTGCATATATTTAATGCGGCAGAGATCAACTTGTATGTTGGTGTTGAATCTACTTAATGTTGATCAGTTGATGGAAGTTAGTCTGTAGGCCACATCACGTGTTATTTTGCTGATCGGTCCTTGGCTTTTCCTATGAAATAGTCATTAGTCAATCACTGTGTTGTAACATCCGCCCAATGATATATTTTGGGTAAAGCAAAACAAAGAAAGCTTCACTCGAACCCTATTCTTTGTCCAGATTTAGTTTTAATTGCACTTGGCATTACTTTCAATATATTTAGTTTTTTTCTATTTAAGAGCAGATGGTTTGTAAACATAGTCTTATTCCTATAATTTTCATTGCTGCAATGTCGAGACCTCATTGATATGGAGTAGCTCAACAGGAAATTTTGATCATAGTCTCAGTTTAGTTTTCAACTTACAGTGTTGACTTTTCTTGCAGTGCATAAGATGTTTGAGACAGACTTCAGCTTTTGCTTCACCAGGTGGCAACCCTTCTGCCAATCAACATGAGAAGGAAGTATGGTGGATCAGCCGGTGGGCATGTGGCTGTCCCATGTGTGGTGGGACTTGGGTTAGAGTTGTATAGAGCATTGGGAGTAGTTCACTAACAGTGGTTCTTCCAACTTTTGTGAACAGCAATGGTTCAGCACATGGAGACAAACACCTTGGACTCTGCCAGCTTATTGTGGATTTGTCACTCTAGTCATGTACTATATCTTAAAGATCAGTGTGACTAGTGAGGCTGGTCCTGAAGTTGGGTAATTGGTATGTGGTTTGATCTTACTATCTCTGTTATACCGAGAAAAGTTTCGGAAAGAAGTCGAGATGATCGAAACCCAGTTTTCTGGAAATGGGCATACTCCATAGCTACTATATACATCAAATTTAGGAAACTAAGAAAGAATCCTCACTTGGATATATTAGGTTCTCTTCCCAAACCAGAGCTTTTCTGGGGTTGTAGTTATGTATAATATTGTCACATTTGTTGTTTATATGAGGGCAATCCGTTTGCTCCAAGTAGTCGTCAAGTAATCAGATTTGCTCAACTGAAATGCCTCTCTCTCTCTCCCCCCCACCCGTTATTTCTGGTGACTATGGTTGCTGCGGTAGTTGTTATTACATGGGCTTAATAAATGAGTGGGAAGGTTTGGGGGGTTGCCTTGGCTTGTTTTGCGTTGAAAGTCCTATACAAGTGTTTCACTGTCCTGCTGGTTATACTTGTGCCGTATTGTATCGAGTCTCGACTAGCTCAGATATTGCAATAGTTTCTGGTTAAGTTTCTTAGACTGCGTCTTGTTTATGCTCGATTTCTTTGTGCGGTCTTCTCTTCAGTTTTTCTCGTTGATTAAAACCGATTCCATCTATTTATAAGTAAAATCTTAAGTGCCATGGGGTGGAATTTTTGCAAGCCAAAGGTGGGGAAGGGTTTTATTTATCTTTTTGAAATTTTATTGATGCATGAATTGTGAATAACCCAGATGGTATGAATGATGACTGAAATTGTAAATCATGTGCTTTGCTTCACTCTCTTCAGTTACATAAACAAAGAAGCTTGGAAGGGAAAATAAAAAATTTGAACTAATTAAGATGGACTTTGGTTCAAATTGTAGTTTTCTGTCCCGTTTATTCAATCTTTTAACAGTACGTAGATATTTCTGTTTCCTTAATTAAAAACCATGATTTATAATGGGGAAGGATAAAGGGGTGTTACAGTTTAAGTTGACCCTCCTAAATAAAACAATAAATTTGTAGTATAAGCTACAGAACCAAAATTTAAAGATTGTTTGAACTCCTAGATAGACCCTCCCACTGTTGCTGACGCTACAACTGGTTATAAAAGATGTTCACAGAGGCAAGAAAGACTCTGTCACAAGGAATAAGAAATAGGAGCATCCAGCCGAGTAGCAGACTAGCAGTCAGTTGGGGGAGTTCCGTAACCCAGTTCATTGACCGAGGAGAAGTTGAGCAGAAGACAATGAATGGAATGGTCCGGAAGTCACTATAGAAAGATCGAATGAGTTTTATCGAAGTTCTTACTGTAAATTGATAGCTTTTGGAAAACGAGGAAGACACTATTTCCATATGTAGAGGAAAATCTAAATTGGGAATCATTGAATTAAAAAACAATGTAGTATTATTAGCCACAGCTGTGATATTTATATCACTAGTCAAAACAGTCTCAATGTCAACTTGGAATGAAATCATATATAAAACTTCCTGTTGGTACTTAAAGAATGAGATGGAAGTGCATCAAATGATATAATCTAAGTAAGTATATATGAAGTCAACCTTCTTGTACAATTATTGATCCTATTAATTTAAACATACTCATCTTGACCCGTTTAACAATTACTTTTACAACGAGAGAATGCATGCATCATACAAGTCATGTAACATAATTAGAGAAACCGTTACTATCTTCCTTCCACATTATATTGCAGGAATTTAAACCTTAAAGACTTACAAACTAGTATTTTCGAAGGACCTGACCTGTGCTCACAGAAATGGACGATTATTTCACAAAAAATCATCAAGCCCTCCTCTCCCATCCCTGCTTCACGTATTTAAATGTCTGAACTTCTCAACCATGCTACAGATTTAGTACTCACAAGACTTGCCTTGGAGGACTCCTAGTTCATTCAACGACAGAAGGCTACTAGTGGTCCAATTAAGCCATTTCGATTGTGGTGGAACAGCAGTCAGTGTATGCATATCACATAAGATTGTTGAGTATCTCTAAGTTCCTGAATGATTGGGCTGCTATAACTCGAGAGTCAGATTTCAAACCATCTCCACTACTCACTTTGACAGAAGTTGATATGTCAGTATTTCAGAGTAACAAAGAGCTCCTAGAGTTTGCTACTCCTCTTGTTTAAAAGCAAGCTAGCCATTATGTGATCTTCATATCCTTTTTTTAGTTTTTTTTTTTTTTGTGGAGGTTAGGGGGTTGTACAATTTTTTTTATTTTTAAAAAATTAAATAGATGCCTTGCCATTACCATTAATGTGGATTACAAAAGAGGTTGTACAATTATTTAAGTTATATCTTCGATCGATCAGTTGCATATCTATATCAACGTTGTACTTTGCTTTTGCTTGAATGATGGAATAACATTTGACCTTCTAACTTAGAACATAAGGTAAATGAAATCATGTACCATGTAAAATACAACAATGACATTCTCCATAACATTGACACATCTAGCAATACTAAAAGACTTAATTAACAGTTCAAAACAGAGTGCAAGAAAAAGAAAACAGTATCAGAGTAAGTCGGAGCATCCAATAGCAGTTTATACAAATGTGAAAAATGTTTAAGTGCCTGTTTGGAAGGACACCCTGGTAATTGGATTTTGTGTAATTACACTGTCTTGTCCTGTTTGGAAGGACAGATAATTACTTGGTCAGCAGGTAATTGGTATAATTGACAGGGGTAATTACACTCTACAATTCACAGGCTCTACAATTTCTATTTTTTTTTTTGTTTTAATTTTTTTAACTTCTATTATTTTAAGTTTTTTTTATTTTTTTATTATTATTCTAAAAATTTGTAAAAGTTTATTTTTTATTTTATATTATTATATTTCATTTTCTTCTTGTTCTCAACCTT